TGCTCTAAACATTGTTGGAAGACAAATAAAGAAACATACAATCCAATTTCCAAGGAAAAACAGAGAAGGAATCCTGCCTGAATGCAATTTCACCTCTTACACTGACCAGCTAAATTCATCTAGGGATTTTAAAACTGTAGGACATATATAACTAGCAGGATAAATAACTAGCAAGAGTATAATTTTTGTTTTAAACAAAAATACTCCATGCAAACACTCCAAATGTACTGGAGAACAGACATTCATGTTGACAGCTGAATCCTTCAACTCTGAAATCAATACATGCTTTGCTTTCTGCAGAAAGAAAAAAAAGGGTGCAAATGTAATACTATAGTAATAGTACTTGATTAATGTAATTAGAATAATATTATAATTAAAGACTCTATCGTATGATTTCTGCTCTTAGAATCTGATCTAATTTCTGTGAGAAATGCTCTTTTCCTATTATTGGGCTGTACAACAGACCAACGGTAGTTCAGGTCCATGAAGATCAAAAGAAAGGTTTTCAACAGAGCAACAGGCATCAATATCATTCTTTCATAGTTCAAATAACAGTGAAGGAAAATGGAAAGGATACTAACTGATCTCTCAGGAATATGGTACAATAGGAGGGATTAATTACTTAAACCAATGCTGTCTTTGTCACTTACTTCTCTCTCCCCTAATCTGCATGCAGGCAGCTTTAAAACTCACAGTGATAAGCCAGTTTCATTAGTCTTTGTTAACACTGTTTGTGTACCCGGGTTGAGGGTAGCAGACTCTGAAGTAATAGGACAGTATTCTGTCCTATTATTACCATATGGCTGAAACACAAAACACATTTCTTAAACATGTAAACCTCATTACAAACAGGATGCTCTGGGACTGTGGTTTGGGGTTTTTTTTATTAGAATTATATGAACAAAATCCTACTGAGTATGTTTTTAGTCAGGCCATGCCAAATGATCAGTGACTAACCAACAGCACTACCTCAATTTGACTGATAAAAGTTCAAATTAAATCTGATTAAAAGAAACCCAAACAAACTTGCAAAAATTTCTTTTCTATAAAGAAGATAAATTTTACCAAAAAGAGAAATGAAAAAGCTTTTTTTTTTTTTTTTTCCAGTAAAAAAAAAAAAAATTTAACAAAAAAAAAAAGAAAAAAAGAGAAACATTTTCCAAAGAGGCCTGAAGTCTTTTAGGGGAAGGCAACATATGACGCAGTTTCCACTTTGTTAGCTCCATTTAAGGCTGTGCTTTACAGTCTGGGTTAGCACTAAAGAGACACAGCAATTCAGTTCATCCCTAAGCACACACTTAACTTCCAGTGTGCAAAGGTAGCCTCAATTATTTCAATGAGAATGCTCCTTGCTCCTGTAAACAGTGCCATGCAGGAATGTTTGCAGAACTGTAGTCTTTAGTTGGTGATGTGCTTGAACAGCTTCACAATGATGTCTGTTTTCCACATCAGACATACTGCTGCTATTCCCTCACAAAGAATGAAAGTGTTAGAATGTTAAAGAAATAATATCAGTTAGGATTATATTCTTGGAATACTTTGCTATAATAATAATGATTTAATGTCCTTTTTATTGAAATATTATTTGCCTGACTTGCAGCGATTCTTTTGGATGAAATAGTTCTTCCTTCCTCTCTCTTAGATACTCTATTTCTATCTGGTTTTTAACACTAGATTTACTCAGGTCTGTTCTATACTACTGTGTTGGCTTTAAATCTTACTGGCTTTTTCAGATACACTTCATAAAGGTATATAAAATTATACAGTATTTTTGGTTATTTTGGTTTTGAACTGCTGAACAGCAGCATTTGAAACTCATTGACACTTGTTACAAAATCCAGCCACAAGTTACCTGAAGACAAAAATGCATTTGCCTCTTGACTTTTGTGCTCTTATTTAAATAAAACAAACTCCAAAATGTCTATAATATTACCCAGTGATACTCATCGGTAGATATTTATAATTTGAAACAACAGATTACATTGAAACATTTAACTGTTGTTACATTACTCAAGTATTTTTACACTATTTTTATTCTATGCCTTTGTTTTTCTGACAACAGGAAGACTTATAATCCCTTCTTGCAGTAATCAGTCCCACTATAAGGAAAGCACTGAGCTCTTTAAAGACTTCCAGCACAGCAAACTACTGCCTTTTTTTTTTTTTTTCATTAATTCATTATTTGTTAAATAGTCGAGCAGTAGAATTAAGTATGATATCAGTACCTGGCTACTTTATATTCCCAGTATGGTTATGGTCATTGTCTAATTTGTTGCTAAAATGTTTTCTGGGGTTGTTTTTGTGAAAAATTTTATGTTATAAGATATAAAAATGCAACAGGAAATCCACAGGGAGTAAAAGATTGAGAAAGCACCAGCACTTTTATGGCTGAAAACAATTCCATTGCAGCAGACCATGGAGATCAGAATACAGCTACAGTTTACCATAAACCTGCACCCTTTTTAAGCATTAGCATTACACTGCTTATATTAAAAATGAGCAATATGTAAAAATGTGGGAACAGAAGTGAAATTTCAGATTTTTCATACACTGCACATAGGAATTTTGGAATTTTGTGTCTCTTACTTCAGAAGATTCCAATGTGAGCTATCAAACTGCCCAGTAGTTACAACTAACCCTGTCCCACGACGAATTTTCTCTTTTAAATGTGGATTAATGAGAAAATTGTAACCCACTGCACATTTGCCCAAAAAAAAAAAAAAGAAAAAAAAAAAAAAAAGGCTTTGCTGGTTAACAACAAATCTAATTTTTGTCTCATTTAACAAATGGCATATGGAATTTTCTGAAAGGCATATGGTACTAATTAAACATGGTATGAGTCCTCCAGACAGTCAGTATACCCATGAGGTATCCAAGGAATGTTTCCCCTCAGTATACATTATCTGTGTATTGATTTGATGGTCTGATTGGATAAAAGCCTTGGTAGCAAACAATGTCTAAGGATTTGGGAACTGCACTTCTATTCTTATCCATATGAACGCTGCAGTTGCCAAGGAAAACTGAGATAGTTAATAAGCAGGCAAATTAGGAACTAATCAGGACCAGTTTATTTTCATTCATTCATTAACCACTAATTTTGGTATCTATTTTCAATCTGTGTTTTTACATTTAGAGCACTGTTCTGTGATTCTTGTGCCAGAAACCATAAAGTTAAAGCAATTGTCCTGTTTTTTTAAGAGAACCAATAAACTAGATTTCGTACATTTTAATGACTAACAAACTACTAACAAACACCTAAAAGTAAGTTGTTTGATTGATTTTGAAAATTTTTATATACACAGTGTGTGTAAATACACTTTCATGTACCCAGCATCAATTGCACTAATTAAATATTTGTTCTACTATCTCAGGTAGGGTTCATTACTAACTGTAAATGTTAATCCACTTCTGTATAACTTTAATTCTCTTTTCAATTCAAAGATATCAGCTTCCTCTAGCATATAGTAGGTAAATTACTGAAAGGATTAAGAAATTGAATGCTGTGTTTGTTCTTTTTCATAATGACCACCTCAGGTAAAACTAACAGCAGCAGTGTATTCACACAGTCATTATTGGGCTTATACTATCCTAAGCAAAATAAAAAGTAAAATGGTTGAGTTGCCTGAGCTAATGTGAAAATGGTAAATGATCTTCTGTTAACCAGAGTATTTCTGTGCAGAAGAACATGAGAGTCTCAAGACCACTATGTCTAGCATCAGTGGGCTTTTTTTGAGACACTTCTTGAAGAGTAACAGAACAGCAGTTTGTGACTTGAAAGGTAGCACTGACTCCTTTGTAGTCCCAGTAAATTTCAGAGTAGTAAAAAAGACAGTGCAATTTCAATAGTGCTCTGAATTGGCCAACTTACTCAATCTACCACCACCTGCTAAATCTATTATCACCACTAACACAAAGAAATGAAAACTGCTTCCTAGTCTCCCAACAGCTAAATATGCACTCTGCTTTTGATAAGAAGACTTGAGAAAAAGCAGTGAGAGTTAAGTAGTAAGGGTGTCACTCAGTTTTAAAGCATCCTGAAATAAAGTCACCTGTGACTCTTACACCTAAAATAAGATGACACTAAAAATAGACCTGTAACATTAATAGCCTGCTGCAAAACAGTTTAACACTTAAGATACAAAAGCCTCTTGGCAAATGAAATATGGCAACTGAAGAATGAATTCTGTCATAATGTCATTTTTACACTTTCTGCACACTATGCTGAAAGGTGTAACCAGACTCTTACCTAACTACAAAAAACATTGTACATACACTTATCTTGAAGGCTCTACTTTAACAGGTGGTTTCAAAATATTTTCAAAGCATATGGAAACACTAAGTTTACCCTGTAAACTTAAGATCCTCTGCTCTTGACATGCTGGATCAATGAACTGAAAAGAGCAATAACATTTAAAGTGGCTGAATGCTCATTATGTAAAACAAGCTGCATTTTCCTGCTCTACCCACGTTATTTCTAATTGTGAAACTGAATAAGAATTGTGCTCTCTGCCTTACTGCTCTAAGATTTCAAATATCATTTCACTTTAAAAAAACACTTGCCCTTAGAGGTTTTTAAAACTGAAAAATTCATGCATGATTAACAGCATTCCTCACATCAAGGAGTCTCTCTTTCCTCCTGTATATTGCACCAGACATATTGAAAACCTACGTATCCAAGATATATACAGTATGCTAGATAACACTGAAAACCTAAATTCAGAAGAAGGCTAAAAAACCCAGATCAAATCAGCTTTTAGCTTAGGAACAAGATTTTTACACAGCTGTAGAACAATATTTGCAGGTTTGCTTTAATGTAACAAATTAACTCAGCTTCCCAACCCTTCCTTCCTGCATTTACATTTAATGCATTATGCACCAAAACAAAACAAAAAAAAAAAAAAAAACCGAATAGAGATTCTTTCAGCCTGACTATCCTGTCAGCAAAAATAGCAGAGAATTTTTCATTGATAAAAACAGAGAATGGAAGAAAACAGACCAACCTTCACAATGTACGTCACACCAGGTCCCAGGATCTTCTCACTCGAGTGCAGCCATCCTCGAGAGGATTTATTGACAAAACTGCTAGTTTGATTCCAATCTTCACTTCCCAGGTGCATTTCCTCTGACCGTGCTTTTTTCCCCATACTCATCTTGCTCACGTCCTGCTGAGAACACGAAGTGGCAGAGACAAGGTTACATGTGTTGTCTGAAGCCCCTGCTGCTGAACTAGAAGCACTCGAGCTTCCCTGCAATTTGGAGACAGCAAGCTCCTTTACTGCAGAGGAGAGGTTTTTGATACCCAAAAGGCTGCCCGTGCTAGAGAGTTTCAAGTGGGACACTTTATGGATGAGAGTACACAGGGTGGTGGGTCCATCTTCTTGGTCCTTGCGGAGAGCCTCTGGTGAGACCAGGTACGAAGGTGAAGCTGAAGTTGTAGCAACTGCTGAGACCTTGCTGTTCATGGGCAAATTGTGAATAATATCATCAACAGATGTCACAGAATCATTCCTGAAGCGGTTATACTTGGTACGTTGAAGCATGCCCTTCTATCTGCTTTCCTGCATATGTTCTGGCAAATCTGATGCCAATGCAGGAGATGCCTGTACTAACATAGCAAGCAATTCATAACGGCACAGAGGGTTAACAAGAGTTTAGGGTAAAAAAGAAAAAGAGTGTAAGCACAAATGAAAAAATGTATATTTTTAAGAAATTTCTTTTGGTTCCTTGTTAAGGTTGGGTGAAGTAACAGTTTTCTGTGACTGAGATCTCAGTCCTGCTTAGAGCTGCCAACTCGCTCACAGCAAAAGCATGACTCACACAAATGAGAAGGACCCTTTTCAACAAAAGGCTGTGAACACTGCAAATCACTTCCTGTAGCCAAAAAAAAAGGAGAGAGAAGAAAAAAAAAACCACATCCACCCACTTACAGCACACTAGCACCAATCAATTCTCAAATTCCCTTTTCCTATCTTCTCAAACAGATACTTCCTCCCAACCTTTAATTCTTATCCCCTCCCACCACCCTTTTAGTACCACAGGCAATTACCTCTAAAACTGAATTAATAGCCTTTATGAAACACCACACTTTATTCATCTGTTAAAATGTTCCACCTCACATATTTGTGAATCTATAAAGAAATCACAATTAGATAGCAAATATCTGGATAGTATTTGCATACATATAATCCCCCTCTCCTGCCCCTGCAGCAGAACACAGACACCTTATAGGTTTTCAGAACAGATGAACAGAACTAAAGACTATATACATTTTTTTCCATAAAAGCAGCCTAACAGTGCCTTTTTGTAAATGCAGTCACTCACAGAAACTGTTATATTCAAATTTTGACAGAGAAAGAAATCCTTCTTCCCTATTACTTCACAAGAACATTCTATTTTAATGCAGGAATTACGTAAGTACCTATGTGTGAAGAAAAGTATTTTTCTGATGTCCAAAAACAGGCTTAATAGACGTTTTTTCTCTCACAACTGATTTTCATTCCGAAGAAAGACATGAAGAGGGTCTTCAATTCACTGGAATGTTTGGTTCAATTCTGAAAAACTGAAAAAACCCTGAGAGAATATTAAAAAGGTAGCAGCAAACTGACACCCTGCAGTGAGAAAAAAAAAAAAAAAAAAAAAAAAAATTATTAAAAAAAAAAAAAAAAAAGCCTTTATTAAGAATGAATGTCAGTCACAAACACTTGATCTGGAGAAGCAGCAAAACATGCAGAAAACAGGTATTTCATTTCTCCTGCAATTTCTTTAGAAGTCCAAATGTGTACAGCATTGTGAAACACAGTGCCCATCACAAGTCATATGGCTTTTTCCTATAAATCAATCTGCCTTGCAAAACATTTTTGGATGTAGGACAACACACTGCATTATAAAAAAATTCAGACCAGAGAAGTTGCATAGTGCAAATTTTTAAAATAAATTACAAACTACAGCACACTTAAAGGAAAAAAGCCAATGGAATTCCTTCCTTCTCCCACGACAAAAGGCTGCAGTATACAAACTGCAAACACAGTGGAACAGCCGGCTTAAATACAGGTATATTCATGACATACTGAATTAAGTTAGCACCTCTTATCCCAGCAGTGATGAATAATGGCAATGTCCTAGTCAATGTAAAGCAGTTTTCTACTGATCTGCAGAAGAGCCTTTCATCACCACGCTGCAAACCTGCTACAGCATCCTCACAGCATTCATTCCTCTCGTCATCCTCCTAGCACAGCAACAGCAAATATACACACCATAGCCTATTTTTACGTGTCTCTACTGCCCAGAAAACCCTACTGCTCCCGAACGGCTCTCTTCATTAGAAGCGGCCAGCAGGACTGCAAAATGTGAATGAGACGCTGCGCGAGTGAATGAAAGGGCTGGCTAGCATCCCCACATTTCTGTGAATGAAGCGAGGCCTCGCAGCCTCTGCCAGGCAATCCCTTGGGTGCTCACCAGCCCAGCCAATACCAGCCGGCTTTGATGACTCATTCAGCAAAGCCTTGCTAAATAGTGGAAGATCCCATTTCGAGCACAGGCGGCACCTTTTTTGCTGCAACACCAGAAAATGAAGCCCGCATGTCAGCAGACGGGAGTGGGTCGTGAAGCCCCTGCGGAAGACAGGGTGTTGCCAGAAAAATGCCTGGGGTGTCCACAGGAGTAGCAGGTGAGGAAAACAGTGGAGTCAGATCTCTGTTTCTCCCCGACTGTGTTCATTCAGCCAATTCATTTACATCCAGCACAGGAACATGAATGTGCACATTTCGTTTGATATTCGATTGCTCTCTGTGCACCTGCAGATTCACAGATTTTACAGGTTTGTCTTCAGAGACCTCTGACAAAAACAAAACAAAACAAACAAACAACCCCCCCATAAAAATAAACACAAAAACAAAGCCAAAGCTCTCCTTGAAAAAAAATTGCATATACTTATTTCTCCCTTATTTACCCTGTTAGCACAGTAGATATTTAAAGGCAGTATAATCATCATTCCAGGGAATGGTAGGCAAAGGTAAAGCTAGAGGATGAAAGCTTCCCAGAGCACCAGCAAAAGGTCTAATTTTGAAACTTTCACTGGACAGAGAAATGCTTGCAAGGCATCCATTGGATGCAGAGCTCTACTGCAAATCTGACACTAGACACTGCAGAGAAGTAGAAGCCACTGAGTTACCCAGTGCTTGAAATCCAGTGCCTACTTCAGCGTCTGATCAGGAAACTGTGTCCCTTACAAATCCAGTCCGAGGGTAGGAGAACTACCCTCAACATTTCAAAACCTTTAAACATTTCAAAGCCTTTTGAACATTTCAAAACCTTGCCTTTTATAGTTCCAGGGACTAGAAACAGTACATAATTTTGCCCTGCAGGCAGCAGGTTCAAATCCAACTCCAGGAAATAATGAATGAAATTAGGAGACTCTGTAATAGGCACAAACTGCAATTTAAATTAGGATCTAGTTCATTCTAGCTATTGCCAGAGCATTTATAATGTCTTCTGCATTTCCAGCACTGTGTCTGGACCTTGCACACTGACTTTACCATGCCTGCCTTAAACAAGTTTGTTGCTACTATTATCTTGCAAGACAGCAAGACATTCAGAGCACTATTTTTTTCCTACTTCTATTTAGCAACCTAATGAGCCTTTTTCTTTTCTTCTTTTTTCTTTTTGCAGACCTGTGATCCAGACACTACAACACGATTAATAAATGGCCATGGAACAATTACTCCTTTGTTGACCACTAATAAAATGGCAGGTGGAAATTCAATGTCGGTAAGTGAAAAATAATATGTAATCCTAGAAATACATACACAGTGAGGGGGTGTACACTGCCTCTGACAAAATACAGCAATTCTTACAAAGTACTGGTAATTTTGGCATCTTAGACAATACTTTCTTTTTTGATTTTTTTTTTTTTGGGGGGTTTTTTCAGCTTTCTCATGGATACTCTTCTTACCCTAATTCAGTTCTTGTTTCATGTCCTTTTCTTCCTCCAAGCAGCTCTTAGGGGCTTATTCTTTGCTGCCACCTTTTTCCTTCTGTATCTAAACTACCTCTGCAGCCTGTATTTCAGAAGCTACTAATTTTTATTAATCACAAAGGGTAAGAAAAGAAATTATGCTGGGGGCATGATTAGAGGGAGAAAGTGTATTTTGCTGAGGTTTAAATGGTTTTAAATTGCTGCAAATGTAGGAGACATTGCCAATACACATGCCAAACCAGGTAGGATGACATGACCATCATAAAGAAGAAACACCACCACTATGTTCCCCAACCTATAGTAAAAAACTCTCCAGAATGCAAAAATGTGACTTCCAGTGATCATATTCAGAGAAATATTAACCATATAATCAGAGTTGGCAAAAATACCTCATTCCAGTAACACACTGTGGTCAAGTACATACTCTATACAACAAATAAGTGCTAGAAACTGTTGAAATTCTGCTGAAATATTTGCATTTTCAGAGTTGTTGCCTGGTAGCAGTAAAATTGCTTGCAGACTAAACTGAATTTAAGACAAATGAGAAAGACCTTAACTTTGGACCAAAAAAAACCTCCAGATGGAATTTGGGTTAGCTAAAAAGTTATAAGTTATAAGAAACACTGACTATGTAATCTATATAAATATAGATGTTGCCAAGAGTTTTAATACTTCACAAAATGTAGCCATAGGTCCTAAACAATTACTGTTGGTGTGATGTAATACTAAGCCATCAGCAAATTGCATGCTATTGCTTATATTGTAATATGATGGACACAAGTGTTAATTATCTGCGTTAGTAAATGTTCTTGGTGAATCTTCAATATTAAAAAATGGTCAATTCTTCAACTAAAAACATAGTATTTCTATAATACAAAGATTTCTAATATCCTGTGGGGACATTTCTTCTTTTGATAATTAAGAAGGAAAAATATCAGCATTCTTTGCACAACACAAGATAGACATACATCAGAAATCTCTTACCCATGTATTTATTAATCATCCTAATCCAGCTTTCTTTATGTGAGACAAACTCAGATGATGTAGTTAAAAGAAAATCAAGATAACTTCAGGATAAGCTAAAAGGCATTATTATCTAACCTTCTTAAGAAGTATGTAGCTATTTTAATTTTAAAAATTTAATGCCTAAACAATTCTATATGTTTTGTTTGTACATACCTAACATATCATATTCTGTATTCCTCTGTTTCTCTCATCTACCTGCACACAGAGCTCAGTTACATCCTACTGTGATTTCAATGGGGGCTCATCCCATAGCTGCAAGACTTATTGAAAGGCACTGTCCTTCCTGTCAGTGGCAGGACTATATACTTCTACTTCAAAACATTTTTCAGGAGCCAAAGCATAGACTGGGATCACATTGCTTAGGTTTTTTTTCCATAATGAGTGTTCGAGTTCAACCTCAGCTTACTGTCCTATGCAAAAAAACCCCTGAAGGCATGTAGGTAAAGGGTGCCATTTTCCTGTTGCAGAAAAACCAACCAACCAACCAACCCAAAATCAAGGAACACCCCCTTTCCCAAAAAAAAAACAACCTGAAACCAAAACTATTCTAACAAATTCTAGTTAATCTATTTTTAAAAACCCCAAAAAAACTATAAATTGCCCCCATCTCCCTTTCATCCTCACTCCTTTTCTTTCACTGGATGGATCAGAGTTTTGCTGTTTCCGTGGCAACATTATTGCTAAGGGTGGGCTGCACCAGGAAATGGGAGCATTATCTGTGGTTTTGCAAATTATTTCTCTGGAAAACCATACTGTTGAAATTATTACTATTCAAGATAAGTGATTATTAATCATTAATGATCAACTCCCAACTAAAATTACATCAGTGAAGTATAAAATCAAGGTCTCAAAATGTGCCTACAAATTTTTGAGCAGATGCTTATATTTTGAACCAGAAGCAGATCCTAAACAATGTTCAGGGGGCTGTTTTTTCTGTTAGTTGGAAATACTGAAACAATTTTTTCTAAAGACATGTTCACTCATTGAAATATGACATTAAATATTTGGAGAAAAATGAAACTTGTAATTCCTTCTGCTCCATTAGTAGTGCCTGAGCCTACTCTGAAAAGTTAACACACTACAAAAGTTCACAGAAAAGACGAATCTGAGATTATACCCAAATCTGAACATGACACTGAGCTTTTGTGAGGAAGGATCAGAGAGTGAAGTGTATTAAAATCCACAAACACTAAATCAACTCTTACAAACCCCCCAGTTTTAATTATTTCTTTCCTTCAGCTAGACACTGAAACCAGAGAATTAGCAGCAGTGTAACAGAACTGTATATCCTAAAAAACAGAAAATCTAAAGTTCTTCCATGTCTGTTTAGCTGCCTGCACCTACTGCAGACCTCTATATACAACAGGTCTTTTCCAACCTAAATGATCCTGTTTCTATGGTTTTTCCTCTTTCTCCCTGTCCCAAGCTTCCACCCTCTGCACCAGGAGTCTCACTGTAGCTGGAGCCTCACCCTAGAAAGGCTCTCTGCCCTAAGAAATACATCCCTGTCACATTTTCTTTTTTGTCCACAAACCGTGGCATGGTGTACAAAATGTACTGCATTGTGAATAATGTAATGAGAGGCCCATAACATGGTTCCATAATTTATTCATAGTGATGGAAATGATCCTTCTTCTGGGCACATACGCATTAATTTCCATGTGTCTCCAAGTGTTTCCATTTTAAACAATCAGAAAAACCTGTGATTTGGAGAAGAAAGCAAATAGCAATCTAGTTCACTAAAAAATTATGCAACAAATTATTTTGCTTTCTTATTCAAATATTACTTATTTGTTAACCTAGCACCTTTTCGGTTCTCATTCACGAAATGTATTTAATAATTCAATAGTTTTATTTTCTACATTGTAATAAGGTGTGTGGTTTTTAGTTTTGATAGGTTTTTTGAGTATTTTATTTTTATTTTGTTCATATCTTATTTCTCTATGAGTGGTTGGCAAAGTTGATGTTAAAAACCCCCTATATATGAAATCTGACTTCACAAATTTCTTATTGATTCCAAGAGGAGTCAAATTTCATTCCCCATTTCCAAATCCAAATGGAAGTCTGGGAATTTTAACTGTGTCTGACTTTTTGTACAAGATTTCTTAGGTTGTTTGCCACTTATAAAGTATATTTACTTTTATGAAAATGCAAATGGCTTTATTTATATTTTGCTTTTTAAAACCATGAAAAAATTATTTATTACTTATACAGTATAATATATATAAATATGTTCCTTACCACCACAAGAAAATTTATGCTCTAGTATCTACTCATTTGTTAGGATAGCTAAATACTGGCAAGAAGAGCAGCAATGAAAAGGATATGTAAAAAAATGCATAATGGACTTTGTTATAACTCTTGGCATCAGGAAGGGGTAACTATACCTTGTCTGAGCAGACAGCAGTCTATTAAAAAAATGCAGACTTTCCCAAACACATTAGTTTCCACTCCCCTAATTAAAAGATTATCATCAAAACTGTAAGAAACAAACACCAACAGAGAGTATAAATCCTTTGTCTTAGGTCACACATCAGGCCAAAATTCTGGCAGCACGTGTAGGATCTAGTGACAGCAGAGCTGCTCAGACTGCATCACCTTTGCCACGTTGCCACAAAGTGCACGCTGTGTGTGGCACCTGACTGAAGAATAAACTGTAGGGGAGTTTTGGGGGTTACTTTCAGCTAGATCAGTTCAAGACTCCAAATCACTTCAGTCATGAACAGTGAAGAGAGAGGAAATGAATTGCACAGGCCAGGACAAGTGTCTAATACCCACTCGCATCCACTTCACCCTGAAACAGAGCCCATTAACTTGTGTCACCAAACGGATACAGATGCTCTTGGCAAACATGGAGCTACATGCAGAGCCATTATTGATCAGCTTCAGTACTAAAAAATTCTGGCAGTTCTGCAGTAGTGGATAACAGCACCAGTGGAGGGTTATTCACAGCAGCACTCACAGCACTCATTCCCAGTGAATTAAAAATAAGGACTACTTCTGCATATTATAGATGATATGAACCACCATACCTGTTTATGATAATGATACTTGTTATCTGACCTGAAGTAATGGTTCACTTCTTTCTGGGTATAGTAAAATGAAAGAGGCATCTGCAAATGAGTATATACATGTGCAGGTATGCCCACATGCCTGCATGTATTAAGGATGCATTCTTTTCTTAGGTGGGTTGCTTTTCTTCCTTGCATTTGAGTTGGCCTACCTTAGATACAACAATACATATGGAAAGCAGGATGGCAAATCTGTGAAAGACATGATAATGCGGCAGGGCTGGATCGAGGGATTTAAACATCTGTTTAAATGTTCACTTAAATGGATTGAAGTTTACAAATTACATTGCTAGTAACGTAAGGAAAGGCACTAAGTGAAATGGCTGCAGATGTGAAGACCGAGACATTCTGTTTTAAGCTTCATGAACTGAAGCAGAGCAGTAGGGAGGCAAGCACCCTGAACTCTAAAAGGGACTCCAAGATTAAAAAATGTTTAGAATGGCAGAGAAATGGAGATAAACATGTGCCTAGCACCCTAGTGTCATACACAGCAGCCTGTATGCTTCTTTGCTGTAGCAAAAGTATATAGTAACTTTCTCTAGGTACCCTCAGAAAATGTGTTTTGTTTGCTCAAGCAGGGCAAGCCCCTGAGAAGCTTCAGTACAATTAAGGCTGAGTTATCACGAAAACTGTGGGTATTCTGAGGGTCAGCAGTTCTCCAAAGGACTTTGGGCATATGCACTAAGACCAGAGTTCAGTAACAGCAAAGACACGTAGAAAGGATGTACAGCAGAAAGACTGGAGCAAAAATATAGTAAGTGCTTGTACAAACAAGCAGAAACCAAAGCCCACGGGCCAAGCAAATGTAATTGACAGGTATCTAGGTCACAGGAGATATTGGAATGGGGAAAAATAGTCAGCTATGACAGTCTGTGGAGAAATCTTACATCAACAGTCCAATCTCAGAACTGCCCAGTGCTCACTTTGAATTGGGTTTCAATGAAGCCCTAGTGCCAGGATGAAGAGAGAGAGGAGAAATGCCACTGGCAGAGACACAAACACAGCTCACAGCTCCAGAACAGAGAGGGGAAAAGGGATGCTAAAACCACCAGACAGCCTGAAGTCTGCTATAGCAATAAGTAAAGCAGAAGGAAAAATCCTACCAAGTGCATTGAAAACAATCAGCCTTACTACCCAGCGGCACAGTAGTGCTGTTGTCTCCAGTTAGTTCAAGTTCAAGCGACAGCACATCTGAGGCTGACTGCACACTGTCATCACAGTCAGTGTTAGCATTGCATAGATGTTGATTGTCTGCTGTTATTATTCACTTTGACTAGGATATGAAAGAGTAAGGATCCATACTGTTATGAAATTATCATGTGCCACTGAAGCAACCTGTTACTTATCTATTCTAACAGTTATTACTGACCACAATGAACTGCAATTATCCTTAAACTAAGACTTTATTTTGAAAACTAGCAGCACTTATCTGTCTAGGACTACCAAGACAGTGTCATAGCAATGCTTTGTGCTACTAAAGCTGCTCCTCTAACCAAGTGCAAGAAACTTTACCAGTAAAAACACAACTTTGCACCCAACAGTGTGCAAATACTAAGCCTGCTTTTGAACAGCACCTTACCAACATATGCTTGGTTGGAATATCTAAACCAGAAGAAATCTGTTGTTTAGCTACAAGCATGAAGACTGCATGAAGCAAAAAATCCTTAAGTGCAATTAAATTGAAAACTCAACAATTAAGGCAAAAGTAAGTCTGCTACATAAAATTTTGTATCAGAATACATATACATGTCTGTAATGGAACACGTATACAGACCACCATGATGAGAGTCAAATGAGAGAACAGAAGGATGTTGGGAGGTTTCGGAATACTGATGCATAGATGGTAATGTTCCTGGACTGATACTCTTTCTTACCTTGCCAATAGCACTTTAATTTTGTGCTTACCTTTTTTTTGCCCAAAACAACCGTCGGGTTTTTTTAAGAAAAAGCAAAGGAATATTCTGCTAAAAAACCATTTCCTACATATACAAAAAAGCATAATCTATATTTAGTTGCTCTATTCTACATCTTCCTAACTCTTTCTAGTATGCAGATGGAAATGTGTGCACACAATTATTCCACATGAGCTTTCAGTCACACAAAACTAACACCTGCCCTCTACTGTCCAAGATGCAAACAAAGCTGGAAGGAGCTCTTCCTTTCTACAGAGCATATTCTCTCTAGAGCCTTAGCATCTACAGGTAGCTACACAACCTCCCAGCAAATCACACTCACAAATGCATTAAGGAGCATGAAAAACTTAAAGGCTCCTGCAAGGCCACACATGCTGGTTTTGACTGGGGTAGAGTTAATTTTCACCACAATGCCTAGTATGGGGCTCTGTTTTGGATTTGTGCTGAGTACAGGGTTGTTAACGGACAGATGTTTTTGTTATTGCTGAGCAGGGCTTGCACAGAGCCAAGGCCTTTTCTGCTTTTCCTATGGCCATGCCGCTGAGGAGACTGGGGAGGCATGGAGGCTGAGAGAAGACACAGCCATGACAGGTGAGCCCAACTGACCAAAGAGATATTCCAGACAGACCATATGGCATCATGCTCAGGATATAAAGTGGGAGAGAAAGGAAAAAGGAGGATGCTTGGAATGATGGTGTCTGTCTTCCCAAGTAATCATTAAATGTAATGGGGCCCTGCTCTGCTGGAGATAGCCGAACACCTGCCTGCCCATGGGAAACACTGAATAATTGCTTGTTTTGCTTTGCTTGTGTGCACAGTTTTTGCCTTCCCTATTTAACAGTCTGTATCCCAATCCACAAGTTTCCTACCTTTTGCCTTTTCAGTTCTCCCTGATCCCGCTTCTGGGGGAGTGAGCAAGTAGTTGTGTAGTGCTTGGTAGCTGGCTGGGGTTAAATCACAACACCATGTTACAGGCAGAAAGAAGTGAGTGTGGTATCTCATCAAAAAGTAAGACCAGAGTTTAAAAAGGCAGAAATGTCCTGCCTGTCTCATCTGTTCAGAAGCACAGAGTAATGACTAGCAATGCAATTTCTATTGCTGCTTCAGCTTTTTGTGCTCATGAAAGAAAGCAGTCTATAAAATTCATCAGTAGATAAACCATCTTGGCTTACCTTTGGGGTGGTCCTTTACAGCAGAAATTATCTCTCCATCACTTAAGGAAAAGAAGGGATATATACTGCCAGGAAAGGTGATGCACATGAAATATCAGCAGTGTAGGGAGGATCATATGTCTGGTCTTTCTGTAATTATGCCTAAAAAAACATCCTGTAGTTACAAAACTGCAAACAGATCAAAAGGATAGCTGAAAAAAAACCCAGGTAAATTCCTGTAACATAGATAATCAAAAATAAAGAGGCTGTTTCAGGTTTTCCCTTTTATCATTAAATTTTTATGTCAAGATTAAAAAAAATTGAAACTTCTCAGTACCGCAGATGCCCACAATCCTAATGATAAATAAGCACTGGGTTAAACCAGCAGAATCTTCATTTGGCATCATTAGAGATGTTACTGAACTTCACCAAATGAAAATACTTTTTAACAGCTGTTAAGTGCTTTTTTGGGAAATACTGATTTTCTAAACTATCATTAATTTGTTCACTTTAAATAGAACTTTGGCCAAAGAAAATTAAAAATAATTCCTACCATAAAAAGCATCTACCATAAAAGCCTCCTTTACACATACACCATGACTAAGAGATTCATGACCCTTTAGCCTGTTTTCCATTCCTTGGTTACCTCTGCAGCTGCTCAGTATCCTCTATCTGCACATCATTGTTAGATTGACAGCTAATGAAACCACTGATCAAATTCAGCCAAAAACTACAAAGAAGGGGAGGTTTGGAAAATGTTAAGTAACAACGCCCTCATGGGATAACCAGGAAGAGGAAAAGGTAAAAATATACTGATGTCTCCAGAGAGGGAGGCATCATAGTATTTGCCTGTATATCTTAAAGTCTAATGTTTTTAATAAACATGCTTCACATATTATCTGAGGTATTACCAGTATCACAAAACTTCACAGATAAATGTCAAGACACGAAGTATAACTCACGTGGTTAGCAGGAGTTGTTTTGCTGTCATTTAACTGGAGGAAAAAAATTTTGTATATGCCACAGAGCAGTGTTTACATTTGCGATTAAGAATCATAAACTCATTAATGATTTTCAAATATAAGTTTGAATTTTTACACATTTTCCTTTCTCTGAAATCCTAAGACTGTTTATAATGCCCTTAATGTATCTCACCAAGTATGTGAACCTGCCTGTCACCCACATCTTCACATCTTCATGCAGTCTGGGATAAACCTGTTACAAATTCTTAAAAGAGACACTTGAGAGTACCTCGGCACACCACCATACTTCAGCACACTTGCTTTTATTACAGTTATCTCATCTAATAACTCTCATGCTAACACTCAAAAATTTTAGATCTGAGTTTGCCAAGTTCCACATACAAAAGCAATTAGAACCAGTTCAGTTAATCCTTCAGACATTCATCTCACCATGATCATGATTATTGTCCCTAGATAGAATATACATCACATGATTTCTCACTAGTTAGGCAAACTTCAACCACTGGTCCAAATGTTCAGCTGCACATTCATTTCAATAGAACTAAATATGATGCAATTTGAAGTTTACCAACTGGCTTGAAGTGAGCTTAACAGTTAACAATTCCTAGAACAAAACACTAAAAGGAGCTGGTGTTAGTATCTCCTCTATTCTTCTGTTTAACACAAGGAACATGTCTTCTGTGAGTGAATTCTTCATTAGACTAGTCAGTTACTTTCAAGGAAAATAGCTGGTGTTTATTAAAACTTCAGAGAGGCTGTCACAACTCTGGGCAAATAGCTGCTGTAATCAGTCACCCAATTGCTTACTGTAAGCAAAAGCACAAAAGAAAACCACAGCACATTACACTTTTGAGTCTGTTCCTAGCATGGGGAGATAAGGTCAGTATTAGATATAGTTTTCCTGGGTAATTCTTAAGGCTTAAATCAATCATTAGTAGCTACCAGTGCTGGGCACACTCCTACATTATGCAGTCTGATGATGCAGACAGATTTGCTCCCACCTGCTGTGATTCATGCAGTCCAGCCAGATAATACACTAGCATTATTCAACAAGCTGCAGCAAGGTGGTCTAATATTGTCCTTTCTGGAATTGCCTTCTAAAATACAGCCACATAATATTTTTAGCATTAAAAAAGTCAAATGAAAAAAATTATCAGTTTCTTTGGTGATCTTGCACTCAGAGCAAGGAGAAAAAATATGTTTGTAGATTGAATTATATATATATATATACACACATGCACACATATGCTTTTCTCCCTTTCTCTGTCTCTAGCTAGTATAAAGAAGTTACAGTTTATTTCCAAGGCTGTTTCTCCTCTTAGCTATACTGATTCCTACTATGCCTGTAGTTTTGCTTTAATTTGAATATATTTGGTAAAGACCAAGTAGCAAATGCTGCGGGTATCTTACGTAATTCACTTTTTTCCTCATCACTATGCAATACTGCCTGATGAGAAACCATGCACATATTTTGGCTTATTAATTAATGTTGCTTCCCCCAATTCTCTCCTGAAAATATATTTCCATTGCAGAATGCCTGTGTCAGTATTTAGAGCATACGACACACTTCAGACTACCTCTTGAAATTAGCTATTAAACCAACTTTAATTTAATTAAAGACAATATTAGATTAAAAAATATGCAGCAGTTAGGGATGCCATTTTTTTCCCTCTTAATTTGGAGTCCCATCACTTCAAAATCAGCATTTGATTCCATGAGACATTAGAGTGTACTTGACATGGAGATTGGTTCTGGTGTTTGTATGGTTAATTTGCTGAGTCGTGACTACTTGTTACTGTCAAATTCTCTCCAAGGATAAATAATTAAAGCTTCTGGAAGAATAAGCACACAGGAAGCAGTGGAGATTGGATGTACGTAGGTGTTGAGGGCATTAATTTTTATCCAATCGCTGAATAAAAAGCACATTATTCATGCAACCTTGTTCATTCACTGCTACGTGACCTGCACCACAATAGAAGACTGCAGCATCCAGTGCTGAATTCAAGGCATTCAAGGCAATGAGGAAAGGACTCCAACAGTACCAGCACACAGGAGCAAAATGCTACACTGTAGGTGTAGCATGCAGCCTTTGGTTAATGCTTTAGCTCTTATGACTAATGCTAGAGTGACACAAAAATGCTTTTTGTCACAGAATATTTTTCTTTGGGTGCAGTAGAAGTAGCAAATATTAGCCTTAAGGTAGAAGGACCTTTTCACTTTCTTTTCAGCATGTATCTCCCACATGTCAATGACAACTATCAGATAAAAAATCCAAACTCATAGCAACCAACAAATAAAAGAATTCATTAATTGGTGAAGCAAAACAAATGCAATGCCTTGTAGTAGCTGTGGTACAAAACTTTTGACACAAAGTATCTCAATAAAGTGAATGCTGAAAGGTGTAAAATCTACAAAGCAATTTTAGCTGTGAAGCTCAAAAAAGCCTGTTATAAGTTCCTGAAGGTTTTTAAAGCACAAGAACAACTCCCCGTTCCAAAATAGATTCCTCCACCTTCACATTGCTATTCCTGTACCATGTTAACTCACTACAAATTCTATCTTTGGCTTGATGCCTCATATGCCTGTTAACTAACTACTTTTACATGTAATTGTTTATTTGCTTGACTATTTGTATCACGTACAAAGGTGAAACTCAAACGAGACTCTAGTGAAAAAAAAAAAACTCATAAATCCTAAAAATTCAAGTATCTATAAACATTCATTAAGGTCCATGGTTACTGGAAAGCAAGGCACCTGCTAAAAGTGTTCATATCATCTCCCACAACAACCTACTCACTCTGGCATTTTTAAATACCAGATCAGTTACATCATTCTTAGTAGCAGATGTAACAGCTTCATAGCTTATATCCAAGCATAGGCACAGAAGATTTTAACTCTCATTTATAATGAAAAATAATGGTCTTTTAGAAAGGCTTGAAAGCTGCAGAATTCCCTAATGACAAATTTGGGTGTTTGAAATGTTATCAGAATAAAAACTCATTTTATTTTTACATAAAAACAGAACAATCCACAGATTTCAAGCATACAGGAATGAGGGAAATTAATTAGTTTCTTATCACAAACCAAAAAAGAAACTGAAAAAGAATCAAAAGGGACTTAAAAACTAAAATCCTTGTAATTTAAACATACAAATAATGTAATTTTTAAAAACATATATTTTATATATAAAATGCTACATCTGCAGAAAAAATGGATGCATGTGAGAAAAAGAATTAAGGTCCTCCCAGTACAAAAAGAGAAAATCATATCAAGGCAGTCAAGAAGGAGAAGAAAACGGAAACAGAAGTTTGTACATATATATTAATGGTTGTAATAGGACAAATTTAATTTAGAAGTAATTGGTAAATTTGACAATAGCAAAGTCCTCAAGGACACACATTAAGCAATTTGTTGAAAAATATGAAGTGTTTTATTCTACTGCCAGACTTAGCGAGGTTGGATAAGCTCTCAGAGTTGAGAATAGTCTTTTCAAAAGCACTGCTATCAGACACACTCAGGAAACAGCATGGAAGTTTGGATAGCAGGTCATTCCTCCTCTCCTGCACCTTTATTAAAGCTAAGGAGAGCATTGCAGAGCACATGAAGTAGGAAATTGAAAATGGCAAAGATTGTCCTTTGTGCTCTTCACTGGTCACCTTCTTCACTGAAACTCTAGTACAAAAATACATTGCTACAGGACAGGACAGGACAACATGAGATGTAATTAATCAAAAGAACATAAAATTATCCTGTGTCCCAATGATGTAGTACTAATGGTTACCATTGTTGTAAAACATTTGCCTTACATTTTGAAGGAAATTAATCAACATTGTGATAAATCATATTATATAATTAAACACTATTAATGCTGGGAACCAAGATTACTGAGCTCCTAGGTAACGTCACATTTGTATGATGTTAAGAACTGTGTGACATTACTCAGGAGAAAATAGCTTTCCTAATGTCAATAAAGAATGTAATATAATCTCCCTCTGCCGTTTCAAAATTGAAAAATGATTAACTGAATAGAAGAGTAACACAGGACTAATTCTCCATTTATCATGGCCAGGTCATAAAATGCTGGTCATATCCATGATAGGTTCATTTCAGGGCTTAGCTCAGGAAAGGTTAAATACTTGGGAAAAGGGCATTGCTGATACTGCTGTGAGACAGACTTTT